GCCTCCAACACCAATTTACAGTCCTCCAATAAAACCACCTCCAGTCCATAAACCTCCGGCACCAACTTATAGTCCTCCTATAAAGCTACCACCAGTTCAGAAACCTCCAACACCAAGTTACAGTCCGCCAATTAAACCCCCACCAGTGAAGCCTCCGACACCAACATACAGTCCACCTATCAAGCCACCGCCAGTTCAAAAGCCTCCCACACCAACGTACAGTCCCCCGGTAAAGCCACCACCAGTGCAAAAGCCTCCGACACCAATTTATAGTCCACCCGTTAAGCCACCACCAGTGCAAAAGCCTCCGACACCAATTTATAGTCCACCCGTTAAGCCACCACCAGTGCAAAAGCCTCCGACACCAACTTACAGTCCACCAATTAAACCACCACCTGTGAAGCCTCCAACACCAACATATAGTCCACCTGTTAAGCCACCACCAATACATAAGCCTCCGACACCTACTTATAGCCCACCTATTAAGCCACCACCAGTGCAGAAGCCTCCGACACCAATTTACAGTCCTCCGATCAAGCCACCACCGGTGCACAAGCCTCCTACACCAACTTATAGTCCCCCTATAAAACCACCACCTGTACATAAGCCTCCGACACCGATTTACAGTCCTCCGATCAAGCCACCACCGGTGCACAAGCCTCCAACACCATCTTATAGTCCTCCTGTTAAACCACCACCTGTACATAAGCCTCCGACACCAACTTACAGTCCCCCTATCAAGCCACCACCAATTCAAAAGCCTCCCACACCTACGTACAGTCCCCCTATAAAGCCACCACCAGTCCAAAAGCCTCCAACACCAACTTACAGTCCACCTGTCAAGCCACCACCAGTGCAAAAACCTCCTACACCAACTTATAGTCCTCCTATTAAACCACCACCAGTACAAGTACCTCCAACACCAACTACTCCATCACCTCCACAAGGTGGATATGGTACTCCTCCTCCATATGCATATTTATTGCATCCTATAGACATAAGCAATTAGGTAAACAAGATACAATACATATATTTTCTCAAGGATAGTCAAATAGGCTTTCAAGCACAAGAGAAGTGTATGTTAAAGCTATATATGGTACTGCATATTATGCAGTAAATAAATAAAGTTCTATAAATGGTTGTTAATATATATGTTACAGTCGATCTCGTTGTTATGCCACTCTTTGAGTTGAAGTGTTTTCATGTACGCATTTTCTAAAATCTAACAAGGAAAATAAATTTCCGTGGCCGTAAATAAACCTCAAGTAAACTATCTCGATACCTTTTGTATTAAAGTTAAAACTTGATGAATTCCATTAGCATATTTTGGCAGCTCAATATTTAACTGCTGTTATATACAAATCTAACGAGACAATAATAAAATCATAAATTAGAGACAACATCTACCAAACACTAAATTCCGCTCAGAAATGAGAATTAAAAGCATATTCATAGTCATCTGGTTTAGCAGAAAAATAATAAAATATATATGTTTCTTGTGTGTATTATTTGAAGAGTAGACCACCCACTCCTTTTTTTGCATTCAAGATTAATGCATGATACAGTCTGATCCAATTTTTCTGTCAGTGGACACAAAATAAAAACTAACACTGATATTAAAAAAAAAAAAAACTATAATACTATATGTGATATTTCCAGTGAGGTAAATCTCATGAGTATCGAAGACTAAGGTGGAGATTTGTTAGAATCCATGTTTATTTTCAGATAAGTCGAACAAAGAATAGCTCGAGCAGAAGCTAAGTTCACTCTTAATTAAGTATTGAGAAGCTTCGCGTAGAGCCAGATAAACACGTGAGAGTCATCATTACTAGTAGTTATTGTTTGTTAGCGTAAACACAAATCCTAACAGATTTCATATTATATTATGCTTCATAAAGGGTCACAACATAAACCATCTTCAGACACTAAGATCACACCTGATCACACACAAACTTCAGTTCAAGCATGGACTTGAAAAGAACAGCTAAGATAGTTACATGTCCTCTACACATACATAATATTAATATATTACATGAAACACACAGAATAAGGATTAAAACAGTACTGCGTCTTATGGGATACCGATAATGGGCAAGAAAGGAACGTAATAACTGGTCGGAGCCAGCCCCCACTCGGGAGGAACAGGCAAATCAACGGTCTTAGACGAACCAAAAGATCCGAGGCTTCTTGGATATGATTTCAAGAAGATCAACTTTGAAGAGAGACAGTATTTGTCACCATCAAGCTTAACAATCTTCGACTTAATGTTATTCTTGGAAGCATAAAGTTGCTTGAAGCTGCCTTGGAGTTCTGCTTCACAGTTTGATTCGATACTTGAGGGAAGTTTCGACATGAACTCACCCTTCTTGTCGGTTGTTACGGTGAAATGCGTTTTTGTGTGGCTACAGCTAACACCGACCATGATTCCTATATATAACAAATATATAAAGTCTAGTTACAAGTGTTAACTATAACAATGTCTAGTCAAAAATAGTTGATATAGAATTTACCTGAATAATCATAATCATTGGGACAGTCGAAACAAGAGACTTTTCCTTCGACGAGGGAAGCCGAGACCACGAGGCAAGATGAGAGACTTGCCGAGAAAAGGAACAAAGCTAAGAAATGTGACCGCAAAGCCATTGAAGTAGGCAAAAATCACTTGATGAATACATAATGAAGAAGATGTGTGTATATATAAGTAAATAGAGATATTGTAACGATACAAGGACAGTCACAAGTTTTACAATTGCTTCATTACTGAATGGGTCCCAAAGAACGAGCATGGTGGTTGAGTTGGCGTTAAATGAATAAGTGTATCCAAATCTTATCCCCATGAAATTAATATAACTTTCCGATAGATGGGAATTTATGTGGAATTTCTAGTCAAATCGTTGAGGACTATTTGATGTTTTTGTTGGTGTTAATTCACTAAAACAAATAATTTACTCATTAATACAGACCACGTAAATAATCAGTTGGCCAGCGATGTTATCTGACATGTAAACATCAGTTTTCCAAAAGTGAAAATTTAGTTTTTGTTTGTAAATAATTAATTCAGTCTAGTGAGAAAATTTCGTGTATCATAAGATGTTAGGATTTAGCCTAATGATAATTTGATGGCCGACTTGCAAGAAAAAAAAGTGTTATCTATATATAAAATATTTGTTTAACATTAAAATTTACCAAAAATACTATTTTTTATTGTAGGGTAAAATTTATTTTTAATAATTTACCAAAAATATTTTCTCCGATTCATAATATAAGATTTTTTGAAGATTATTTTTGTTCCATAATTATTAGATGTTTTCAAAATTTCTAGCAATATATATATATACTAGATTTTAACCCGCGGTACACCGCGGGATGATTTAATTTTAAAGTTAGTATAAAAATATTTTGTAAATTGTATCTGCTTATAACATATTTATTTATATTATAGTTTACAATTGTTATTAAGTAACGGTATACTACGAGTCCACGAGATAATTATTAATAAACTGAGGATTTAATCCGTATTAAAGCGGTGTATAAATATTGATTCAAATTCGTCCGCCATATAAATCATTTCCGAAATATAATCCGTTCCGTAATTTCTTAACCCGTCCTGTGATTTGTATTAAAAAAATAAGGATTAAATCCGTATTGAAGCGGCGGATTAATGATATTTTAATCTTTTTATTATTGTTGATTCAAAAACCCGTCCCGCCAAACCAATCCCCCCAAAAAACTCATTTATTTTATTAATGTTCTTATTTATGATATGATTCTGAATCATTGTCTAAATATTTTAATCGATGTAGAACGTTGAACACACATTTTCGTCAATTGGATAATATATGTCCGTTTTTAAAATTTCGAATCACAGTATATGCAGAAAAAAAATTGATTTTTTTTTTACTTTATGTATTATATGATGATTCAAAACAGTTAAAAACAAATCAAACAAAGATGATAGGAAAATCATAATTATAAATCTTAATCAAATCTTAAAAAAATCTAAATTATTAAATATGGAATATCCGGTGTATGAGTTGGGTTAAATATAACCCGACCCAACAAATTTTTTGTGAAGAAATTTTGAAAATGGGTCGGATATCCGATATACCCGAAAGCTTTTTTACCTATCTGTCACAAAAAGTGCTGCGATTATACTAGTATAGATATATATAGTTTGAATGTGAAGGAGTTAACGACCATGCAAAATAGTCAACATGATTTTATTAGGGGCATTAAATTGTTGGGTTCGTTCCACCGTAGTATTACTCTATTTTCATGCAATTGTCATTTCACCGTCGGTGGCTCTCCTTATGGGCTATATATCTCTTACATTGCTTAGGACCAAACAAAAAAAATTGCAAAATATCTGAATTCATTGTGTGTTTAAACCAAATTATTACGGTTGTAAAACCAAACATTTGGGATTAAATAGTTCTGATATTTAATGCTAAGAGCTGACCAAATAAATGCAGATGATATTTGCCTTAACTTTAAGTAGGACCGGTCCCCTACTTGTTTTGTTAAGAAGTTATATGAAAAATCAAAATTCCTACTCATTTAGTCAAGCCCTCTTGCATTCTTTCTCTTTAAGAGGGATTTGGTCATTTTGGTTTTAGATCCATGTTAAATTTGTTCATGTGCTCAACCGGCTCTCTTTGTCGTCGAATGTGCCTATCAAGTATATCGATGTCTCCCCCAAAAGGAAAGAGATGTATGTCTCGTTCACTCCGAAAAATACACCTAAGAAATCAAGATCATGAGCACGAGAAGGCGTTAGTAACAAAAGAAAAAAGAAAAAAGCATTAGTTTCTTTTTTTGTAAACTAATAAAAGGATTAGTTTCAACTGGAATCTAAAGTGTAAGTGGAATCATTTTAATGTCCGAAACAATATTTATAACTTGATAGCTCAAGTTTTCAACTCGAATTGGTAATATCTACAAGTCTTTGGTTTAAATGCCTATGTACATTCAATCCACAAAGAGCGAATTATTGCAACAGTAGACTTCTGAAATCCAAACTAGAGCAAATGGTTTTAGGGGTTTTATAAATTTAAAGAAAGGAAAGCAATTAAAAGGCAAGAAGATAAAGCATTAAGCAAAACAAGATTTAAGCAATTAAAAAAATCATGAGACCAAGGGCTTGGCTAAGACAAACATCAAATAACAACCCTGCCGAGAGATGTATCTAATCAACCACCTCTTGGCCGACGGAAACGACCGCATCTCCTGGCTTATGTGGGCTACGGTCTGGATCTTTGGACTGGTGTGGGAGGGGAAGCTGGATTGGTCATGGTTCTCCCGAAAATATTTGGCCAATGCCAAATTTGTTGGATGCTTAGGAAGTTCTGGATAAGACAATCACTAGCTTTTCTTAGATGATTATTTGTTTTAGAGATATTTACCCTTTACCACACTTTTTCAAGTTCTCTTTCACTCACACACACTTTTAAGTTTTCACATCTTTTTTATGTGTGTTAAGTGACTTATACCCTCTAAAACCAATCTTCATCTTCTTCCTTACTTTCACATACTTCTCTTTCTTCTTCTTCCTCCTCGATTTTGATCCATAGCAAAAGAAACTCTCTCTCTCTCTCTCTCTCTCTCTCTCTCTCTCTCTCTCTCTCTCTCTCTCTCTCTCTCTCCTTCCATGATTTGTACCGCCTTCCTCTCTCCATCTCTCCATCTCTCCATCTCTCCATAGCTTATTGGATCAAATCCTCTTCTCGATGATGGCGGCGGCTCACCGGAAATCGGTGGTACCGATTCAGCAAACGGATGGGAGAAGCTTCTTAAACCATTCGATCTGGATTCTCTCAGAAATTCATTTCATAAGATCACTCCTTTTCAGCTTTGTAAGCTACTTCAATGGAGTTGTTCTCATAAGATCTAGATTCTCTCATCTCTAACCAAAGTCTCGTTTCAAACACAACCCTAATTGAAACAGAGCGTGTGGCTTTGCATACTATGGATTTGCATACGAACGGGTCGGCCAAATTATGTTTATTAATAATACCATCCATGACATTGTGAACAATTGTTCGCTTCGACATGTTCATACTATCCATGTACTAGCCTACTGGATTCGAACAAATGGATGACTTAAATAACCACCAGCTTGAAAAAACACAAATAAAAGTTTTGGGTAACTGTATGTGCTTGGTGAAGACCATATGTATTGTCGGCTAATTGAAAATCATCAAGACTTGTTGCAGGCTTGGGAT